AACAAATATTCGAAGTAGAAGCGAGAAAGGGTGAGCGTAAAGATATAAAACGCTGCGTTGAAACCGTCGTTTATCCCCGTCTTCCCTGCCTCCAAACCCCCGTACAGAATTCGCAGTGCTCCCCTGACAATCTAAATTCCTCTTCTCCGGCCGGCGACGCCCTCGATAATTCCGACTCAATTCCTCGATTTTTTCTTTATTTTTCTTTTATTATTGCGCAACCCTTTGCCATCCTCATTTTCACTTCATTTCCGCAAACTCTCAATGCACACCGAACCTCCAAAACCTGTTGTTTCTTCAAGGTATTGATAAGTTGAGGCTATATTTTAATTTGTTTGTTCAATCTAATTCCGATTTTAGTTTCAAATTTCGAGTTTACGCTTCTTTTTTGAGGAGATTATGGTGTATGTATTGATTGGGTAACGAATTGGGGTTTTAAGATCCTTTTTAGTGTAATTTGTTGTTTCTTGTGATCTTAGGGGTTAAGGAGGAATTGCATTTAGAGTTTTTCTGTTATTCCAGATCACGTAAATCTCATGTGAATTTTTGTTAATCTTAACCTTTTACCTTTCTTATTCTCTTAGGTTGCTTATGTTAAGTGTAAGAATTTTCCTTTCTCGGAAGTTTATTCTTCCAAACCTCCACCACCCTCTTTGTCTTGGCTATAATTATTGGGTTCCATTTGCTTTGATTAAGAGAGACCTATACTTTATGGCAGATGTTGCTCAACTTTTGCCTTTGCATGCATTTCATGTGTTGGTTTTTATGTCTCTGCTAAGGCCTTTATCATTGTGTATATTTTTTTCTTGGCATTTCTACTATGGCAAAGTGACAATCTGATCAAAAGAAATGGTTTTCTAATGCTCACCATTGTAATTAGTAGCATTTTTTTTTCCTTTTTATTACTTCTTTGCAGTAAGAGGTAGCGGTGTTTGGGTGCTTAATCCTAGATGTTGCTTATTAACATATTTTCCATTGTGCTACTGCCATTATGCTTTTTAATTAGATTTCGAGGTGCATAAATTTGACCAAATCATATCTTACCACAATGCAGATTGCAGAATATGTGTATGGAATGCTACTGATGGTATCTTAGTTCATTCTTTGACTGGTCATACTGAATCTGTAAGTCATTTGTTTTTCTGATTTGTGAATCTTTTCTTGAATCTTGTTATTTTCTGCTTGCATTTAGGATTCAGCTAT